CCCCCCCCCCCCCCACACACACACACCCACAGTTCCCCACATGTTCACAAGGTTCACCCCCACTACACCCACAGAACCACACACACCCCGCAATCATACAAAGTACCCACATAATTTTGCATAACTGAGTTTTTCTACACATAGTTTTGAGTTTTTAGCTGTGCGATTAAAATCACGATTAATTGCGACTAATTTAAAACTAATTGCAATGACATTTTTTTTAATCATTTGGCAGCTCTATTTCTAATCTATGTTACTGTAATTTCTGATACTTGCAGTACAGTTGTGAACTCATTTGGGGGGGAAAAAGGATATCAATTTATGTAACTCAGAAGCACATGCACAGAAAATCAGAAGGCAAGAGCTAGTCAGGGAAGGAAAGCTCTTCACAACTGCAATGAAAACAGTGTGCGAATACAATTCAGGAACATAAATGGCTTTTCTTTACAGACCCCAAACTGTACTTTGGAAGACTGGGGACCATTGTTTGTCAGAAATAAGGTTTTCAAAACTGTTTTAAAGAACTACAGTCAAGGATACATAGCCAAATGATTATTTCTTAATTTGGAGAACCTCAAGTACTTTACTACTGCTCAGTACATTTTATGGAGGTGCTGAAGAATAAATGGTCCACCATAAAATCAGTATTCTAAACACGATTTTCTAAATATTGACTCTCATATAACCCATTTCTCAGAACCATTGGTTTTGAACCAGAAAGTCAGATTAGGAAGTGACAAGGTAGCAAGGAACATAAGGAACATGACCAAAAATAATGAAACATTCCCCTCACCAGTAAGGCAAGGAAACGCGGTGATTTGTCCTACCTCCCAGCTGGCCAAAACTAGTACTAAATAGTTTTTAGCCTCCAAATACTCAAATACAACATGTTTCCGTGTTATCTGCTCAACAGCTGCTCATTTTTTAAGGCTAAAAATAATACTTCATTCACGCATGAAAACAGCAAATAATATAGTGCATATTTAACATAAGTATAATTTATATTTCAGTTTTCTATTAATTCATTTCAGAATTGTATCATTTCAGAACCATAGTGTAACCATTTAAACTGTTAAGATTCTTCAAAATGGTTTTAGGAAAGATTTTTTTCAGGCTTTTCAACAACATTAATCATTTTAAAATGCTACGTTTTGACTATCTTTGTGACAGTGCATACTCTAACTAGCCTGGGAATACTGTTTGCACCAAAAAAGATACCAACATTTTCCATTCTAATATTGCATTTGTTTTCACATATGGGATGATAGAAAATCAGAAGTGCCATAGAGTTGTTTACTGAAAACCATGGGGGAAAATAAAATTCCAGAACCGTAGCGCATAGTATGGATCAACAGAGTCATACAGTTTTGATAAAAAATGTTTCTAATAAAAGCACATTCAAATCCCATGATCAAAATACAAGTCAGGCAGATGTTTAATTACATGGCAACTAATGTCAACTGCAAGAATCTAGAAGACCACACACTTACCCGTCCTCGTTCCGTAAGGGTTGTCAACATGATGATCAATGTTAATCTGTGATCCCAGACTACCTGCCAGAAATGTGCGCAGGTATGTGGAAGAGGCCCTTGAGTGGCAATGTATCTGTTCACGATGCCAGCGGAAGGAATTTCCATCTATCAAGAAAGGGAAAACCTTACATAAAGTTTACTCTCACTACTAAAGTAATTACAGCTTCCTGTTAAACATTTATTTTGTATAGGTGAACTTCTGAAGAAAGATTAAAGGAAGCAAGTCAACAAACAAGACTGCCAAGATCACATCAAAGTTCCATAGAATATCCCACGTCAAATTACTAACTTGAAGTGAACTAAAAATCATGTGTCAATAGATAAAAATGTCTTTTGATTATTTTTCTGTACTACAATTCAAAGAAACCCAACTGTAATGCTGACATTAGAAGCCATTTATAACATCTAAACATTTTTGGAAGACTATCTACTGACCAGCCAAATTGTTTCTCCACAGATAAACATTTTGATTAGTAAGGACAGTATTTTTAGCTAACCTATATCCATAATTATACAATCAATAATTGTTTATTATTTCCCCACATTTATAAATACAAATACATACTTGAAAAAAATGCCAGGTTTCTTTTGCTTCCCAGTATTGATGTCCTTATAAATCAATCCATCTATATTAACCTTTTTTACTGCTAAACCAGTTGACTACAGCAACAGTTATCAAACCTTTCCCTACTCAAGACTTGATATCCACCTGTAATTAACTCATGGAAAACAAAATACCAATGTCCATTGTGCTGCTTGTTTCAGGGATGAATGTGCTTGTTTTCTTCTCCCCATCACATATTTATTCCAGGGAAAGGACTACTTCATCACATTGTATGGTGGCTTTCCCAGGACAGGGATCAAAATTGGTCAGATTTGTGGTGGTTCAACAAACAGATACATTTTCATGAAGAGTGAATGTAAACTTTCATACATTAAAAAAAGGCTTCTCTTCTATGGTCACAGGGAATACCTTTGAAACACAAACCATGCATAAACTGATATAGTGAGGCTTGCTTGTGTTTGCAAACAACTACTCTAAGAAATTAATATAAATATAATCAATGTCAAGTTATTGCCTCTAAAATCTTATAATGGCAATTCAAATATGAACACGATTATTTATTTGACTGCTGACAAAAGTTCATAAGACAGGAGAGGGTCAATGAATATTAACTGTGAATGACAGTCTCCTTTTGGCTTCTGAAGTGAGTGGGAATTTGGTTTACCAGAGTAACAAAGCTTTTGTTTCCAATTTCCATTTCAGGCTCAAATACACAAAGGTGCTTTCTGTACAGTTAAGACATTCAGATGTATAATCATGAGTTTCCCCACAACTCCTTCATGTGACACAGGACCAAGTGGACTATAAAGAAGTATGGAAGTACATCCTTATGAACAGGAATTGCAGGCAGAATGGAAGAGAATAAAGGAACAAATAAGAATACTGCATCCTCACCCCAACCCCCCACTTCGAGAAAGAAGCTAAACTAATAAGAAAAAAAAAAGAATACTCAAAGGAAGTAGGTTCCACCTGAAAACACCTGAACCACCAAAATGAACAACGGAAAACATCACGGACACACGAGAGGTACACAACTATTTTCTGAACTGCTGTGGCATAACCTTCAACAATTACCATTCAACTAAACTAATGCTTCAGGAAAAGTAAAACTTAAAAAAAAAAAGTGTGCTTCTTAATTGAAGCACTAAGGCATTCACATCTCACAGATGGTAAAGGATCTAACTTATGCAATGCTAATATGTTGTCTTCTTCATGGCTGCACTTTATTTAACATAAAACTCCTTCATTTTTAACAATTATGAAAAGTTACAAAATAATTTAAACATTGTGACTTACTCAAATTAATACCTGATTATTGGAAGCTGCGTGTAAAATCTAAGAAGTAATTTTCATGGATAATCATCTGAATATTTGGGAGCGTGTCCCATAGTCCTGAGTCTATTTAAACACATAAACACTGAAACCTACACTTTGAGAGCCCAGGTCTTTACAGGACTGCACTATGTGAAACTGACAAACCATTTCTCCACTGGTTCAAAACATCCTGCATATATGCTAATTGGATTCTTTGAGCATATTGTCCATCAGTACAACCATACATATGTACTTTTAAATTTTCTATTATGAAGGGGCCCACAAAAATGCAATGAATAAAACCTCAGTGTGTCTGCATGTGCACCTTTTTTTTTTTTTAAATACACAAAATAATTTAGCCTGTTGCTGCACTATGAAAGATAATGAATAATTAATATGGATGCCTGCATGACTTACAGTCACATAATTTGCATTAATGTAATCTTCATCTCCTTGCAATATTATTCGTGTGGCATCATCTGTAGCAAAAAAAAAATTACATTAGCTATAAAACAGTTAGCTGGTCTGCTTTTTATTACTATTTCTTTTTTTAGGACAAATAAAAGAGCTGTAGGCACTTTGAGAACAGGCACATAATGCCATATACAGCAAAATGGACCATCTTTTAGAAAGGAAAATGGACACCTCTGATTAGAAAACAGAATCAGTTATGGAAAAGTTCATGGCAGTAATTTCATAAAATGTAAAGCAGCATTTGGAGCATAAAAGGGAACAGAAGTTTTATACTGAACACTCACACGGTAGAACATCTTTGTATCGGTTTTTGTCCATATTTTGAGGAACTTTTGCACATGTAACTGCCAGCCCCGGCTTCTTCCTGTAAAGTTGCTACAAGACAGATATGAAAAAAAGACAACATTTTGAATAGTTTGCTTAACTGGATACAAATGTGCTACAGGTACCAAATACATGCACTTAAAAAAGCTAGCTTAAAGCAACCATGCAATGGGTTTTAGAAGACTTTAATTGCATACAAAAGTAAAGTGAAGATCATTTTTAAAACGTGAATAGAATCCTATCATCTTCTGTAGATAAATACTTGAAAAAAATCAAGCATAATAAAAGATATCAGATTCACTCAAAGAACCTTGTCTGAAAAATCACGGAAATATGGGAATCATTGACAAACTAACTGCTTCTAACCAAGGTCTGCTTTCTGTTATAATAAATTTAGTAGAATGATGGGTTCTAAAGGTATTGGAAGGAAGGTGGTGGCAATAAAACTAGTCAGAAGAGAAATAAATGCTGAAGGCTAGCACTTACCAGAACGAATGGCAATACAAATTCACATCCCCTTTGACTTACTGGGCCAAAAGTGATATTTTCTTCCAAGGACTTAAAAGGAAGCAGTAAAAACTTAGTGTACTACAGTATCTAAGCATACCTGAGTGTTATTTGGAACCATATCCTACCCAAAAATAGCACAGGGTTTTTTTGGAGTAAATATACTAATGTAAATGACAACAGATAGAGTACATACACGTACAGGCAGGCATGTACACTTACAGAAGCTCAAATAGGAGTGACACATTTGATCTGGGGATTTTTGCCTGGACAAGCACTTTGGTGTGGGGAAAGTTGTGCCACTTGGGGCAAACTGACCCTGCCCAGCTCTTCCCAGAATTTCAGCCAGGGGGAGCTAGAGGTTGGGGCCAGCACCTGTATTGGCCCCAGCAGTATAAAAAGCTGCCCTGAAGAGCAGCTGAGGGCTACTTGCCCTCAGGAGCTTCTGAGACCTGGCCAGTTGATATCTGGGGACACCAGCCCCTTGTGCCAGCTGGACTGCTGAAGCAGCCCTAACCTAGAGTGGCCCCTGCACCCTCTACCCACTGCAGCAGTCTGGCAGTGAGGGCTGTTGGCTGGCTGTGACCTGCTGCCACTGCTGACAGCATCTGCCCCCTTGGACCTGCGGCCCCATGCCTGCCAGACCCAGACAGGGACTGCACAGCTGCCTGTGCTGTGGTGCAGACACTGAAGCAGAGCCACCTGTACCTCTGAGCCAGCTGCCAGTGGGCCGTGGCTGCACAGCTGGCCTTAAGGCAGCACTGCTGTCATGTCTTCTAGTGTTCTCGCTCTGCCATCTGGGCAGCTATTGCCCAGAAGATGTGCTTCTTGTGGTGGCCCACTTCAAAAACTGTCAAATCGGGTCCTCCTGGCCCCCAAATGGCCAGGTCAGTCACCTCATCTGCCCTCCAGCTGGGTCACTGGTGCTGGCCCCAACCCCTAGCTCCCCCTGGCTGAAGACCTGGGAGGAGCTGGGCAGGGTGAGTTTGCCCCAAGCAGCACAATTTGCCCCACACCAAAGTGCATGGTCAGGCATGTGTACTGAGATGCAAATCTTCGATACAAATTTGTGCCGCTACTATTTGAGCTGCTGGAAGCACACGTTCTTGTATGTGTGGAAACACCCATAATGCACAGCAAATGAAGCAAAGGAATAAACTGAATGAGGCATAAAGTCTATTAAGGAAAAAAATAATTGTATGTAATCACATAAGCGAACTTTTACCCCGATACATATTACAGTTGGGTGCACAACTACAACATTGGCATATCCAGATTTCAAAGTGCTTTACTTCACAACCTGATTTTAGTATTTTTAGTGGAATACATGTAAATGAAGTGCCTAGGGAAGTGGATAACTGGAGAATCTCAACAGACAAACCAAGAAACCTTCACCGTTCTTGGTACTGCAAATCTACTGATTTCTACTGTACTGATTTCTAGTGAACTTAAAAAAAAAAGAAACAAAACAAAACAAAAAAAAAAAAACAAGAACAAAATACCCCTGCCTCCTGGTATCAGATATAGAAATCTTACTCTGGTTTATAGGAACCATGAGTCTTAGTTAATCTTGATTTCTATTCATAATCAGAGAAACAGTGAGAATTATTTATAAGGAAAACAAACCACAAGCTTATAAGGCTTGTGAATTTTAAACACTCCCTTGTTGGTACTTGAAGGAATTAGTAAATAACTTAAATATGAAAAGTATGCATTTCCTTCCAATAAATAAAATGACATTATAATGCACATCTCTTTATAAAATAGGCACACATATTGTGTGCGCACATACCAACACACATTTACATTACTATACTTGTAATAAGAACAGGAACTACACTTGATCTGAGCCAACTACCATATATACCAAGTAAAAAAAAAAGTTTTAGTCATCTAATCTCCAGTAAGTCTTAATTTTTCCAACAATAATTTTAATACTCCTAAAGAATTTAATGTCTTGCAGTTTTAAAACAATTTATGTTAAAGCAAAAGAATGCTCACAGAACACCTTCTCATATGAAAGTTGTGACTACTGAACTAATGTGCTAAAAATTAGTTCCACTGTAAGGTTAATTGAATCCTGAAGCTAAATATCACAGCTCACTACACACTTTCAGCTTGAACGGCATAAACAGAAGAAAAGCCTTATGGGAACAGACCTAGTTAGTATACATATATACTTAAGTATATATATTTTTTAAATATTTGCAGCAGCCAGAATTCAAGTTCAGCTTTCTGCCTGACTATTGATTTATGCTTCTGATAGGAGACAGGGGTGTTACTAAATGTCAAGGTTTCAGTTCTGGGTTTTTCAATGTCTTTGCTGGATTAAACTGTAATGTGTTGAAGTCTACTCACCAAATAATTCCTCAGCTTTGTAAGTAAAAGTATCACTTATCCTTTCACATATTTAAAATGTGTTATTTAATTATAATAAAACCGAATCAGTGAGTAATTGTTGCCATAGTAAATACTATGATCTTTGTTCCTCATAACAGTTTTTATATTTTAAAGATTGTTTATGAATCTGTGATTTAAACAACAGATTTTTAAAATTGAATTTTAGTTGGTTAAGTCTAGCATATGAACTCATTACCTTGATCCAAGAGACTTAAGGAAAACAGCTAATGAGCCATTGCTTATTGTTTGAAAAATGCACAGAAAATTTGGGAGGTAACAGAAGATGGGAAACAAACACTAGAAGAGTGGATCCTGGCAACTGCCTTCCAGTTGGTGACAGCTCTAAAATATTAGCTGGTGCAAAAAAGAAAAGGTTGCCTGCTTTTTTTAAATGACTTTTTAACTTATAGAATATTAACTTAAAATGTACACAGACACACACGTTGTAAAGTACCTTAACAACCACAAATGAAATGATATTGTGCCAAGTTCTAGGTTTAGTCTTACTTTAATATGTTCATTAGCAATTTGGGGGGAAAAATTACATTTACAGTGACTTGTATACAGGTTTCCCTTGATTTATGAGGGTTCTGTATATGTGAATTTGCTCTTACATGATGACCCTTTTTATACCCAAAATTCGTTATATGTGAGGTAAATTCGCTCTTATGCAACTGGCATAAGCACCCCGCCCCAAGCAGGTAAGTCTGTGGGGGGCGGGGAAAGGGCCCCACTCACCCCAGCACCTGATGCAGCTGCTCTGGGAGTGGCCGATGCCAGCTGCCTGCAGCTGCTGGGCTGCACTTTGGCCCAAACCCACTGGGGCTCCACTTGTCCCTATTCACCCCAGCCCCTGGGCTGCACTATGCCTTGGTGCAGGCAGGTGGTGTCAGATGCTCCCGGGTCTTCTGCAGCAGGGGCTGGGGTGAGTAGGGAGAAGTGGAGCCCTGGGGAACAGCAGTTTGTCCCCGCTCATCCAGAAGCAGCCGACGCCAGCAGCCTGGAGCCGCTGGGCTGCATCCCGCCGCAACTCGCCCAGGGCTCTGCTTGTCCTCACTTACCCCAGCTCTTGGGCTGCGCTGGGCCATGGTGCAGGCAGGTGGTGTCAGCTGCTCCTGGGTCTGCTGCAGCAGGAGGTGGGGTGAGTGGGACAAGTGGAGCCCTGGGGGGGGTTGAGGCACAGTGCAACCCAACAGCTGCAGGCAGCTGGTGTTGACCAGTCCCAGGGCCACTGCAGCAGGGGCTGGGGTGAGTGGAGACGAGCTGTGCCATGCCCCAGAGCCCCACTTCGCCCCACTTACCCCAGCCCCTGCAGTACACCCAAGAGCAGCCAATACCACCTGTCTGCACCACGGCAAGGTGCAGCCCAGGGGCTGAGGTGAGTGGGGGCAACTGGAGCCTGGGAAGAATTTTATTTACATTTAATATTTGAGGTATTTGTTGATTAAGTATGAAAACAAAGACAACCATTGTATTACCCCTGTTTTATATCAATTAGTTTATTTAATGATCCCCTTGCAGTTTTGGTTTTCACTAGGCTGCCTGCACCCTTCCCCCTCCTCCCCTCCCTTTATTTTTCCCCTTAAATCAGCAATTGGACTACTTCATACAAGTGGTGAAGCGATTATAGTGAAGTGACTGGATATTTCTGTTAAAATGGGCATCAGTGAAATTGGTAAGATAGCTGATATTTAAATTGACACCTTTAGTTTTTACAATTCATACAACATGGAGACAGTGAATAATTCACACTCCTCAGTTACTGTGTCAGGAAATCTCAAAGAGGTATCACAACATACTTACAATAAACTCATATTTGGAAAGTTTATTTCACAACTATGAGGGCCAGAAATGTGTCTTTCTAAAAATAAAATATTAGGTCCAAAAACAATTTGGCAGTACTGTGGACCCAAACCAGGAAGTGATCATCAAACAGGTCAGAACTAAACCTTCCTGAAGACAGATTATAAGCCACTAGAAAAATGTCTTGCAGTGTCAAGGAAAGATGCAAACTTTGAAAAAATATAAAAGTGGAAAAAAATCCATTCATGCTGTTGTAGAAAAGCAATATTCTGTTTGTGGGCAATTTAAAAATCAATGGACCATGCTTTTTAGAGGCTCAAAAATCACTATAAACGAGCATTTGGAATCCTGACAGCAAGGCAGGCATTGAGAATCAAGTTTACTGCACTGAATAGCCTTTAACACAAGAAAAGAACTTGAGTAAGATTTTTCTACTTATTACTGCAGTGAAGGAGTGAATCTGATAAATTATATTTGCATGCATTTTAGCTGCAGACATTTTCATGGTGCTCACTGCCAACACAGTTGAGCTTGTTGTATAATGGTAATGAATTTATCTATATAACAGGCCTGTGCAGTAGAGACAATCTCATTTTAAAGCCTGAGGAGTTGAGGCATGGTGAGATGTAGTGATTTCTTGAAGGTCACACAAGCTGTATAATGGAGGGCCAGGAAGAGCACTCAGATATTTTAAATTCATAAACCCATCATAAGAAAATGGCAGGAGAGAGCAGGCTCCAGCTATTGCCGACTGTAAATTACAGCCAAAAAAATGGGTAGACATATTTTTTATTGCAATAATAAAAGATAATTTTATAATTTTACTGGGTGACAGTACAGACTAGACTGACTTCTGTCAGGGGAAAGAAACAACTAGTTTTGGCATAAAATAATTTTTCAAAAATGAACTTGGTGGGCTTTGGGTGGTTGAACTTAATTAAAAGCAGATTTTTCTCAACAGATGGTGTTTAATGCAAGCCTGATAATTCAGTCTACTACCAAGATGGAGAAGAGTTAGAATGACAGGTGATGTGCTCAATCTGTTGAGGTGGGGTTGAATGGAAATGAGAAAATGTCCAAGGTCCATATGCTTTGAAGTCACTCTTGCATCACAGACACCAGGCAGTACCATGGCTACTGTAAATGTAATGTTACCTACCTCAAACTGAGTGAGCACTGTCCCGTTTTCCAGACCTTTCTTCAGTTGTTCCATAGACTCTTCTAGTGTATCACCATATTCTGAACACGTGGGAAGAATGGATTGCTGAAAATTCTGAGAATCAGCTTCATCTTCAGATTTGGTCTCAACAAAGTGTTTGACAACTGAAAGACACATGAGCATATTTATACTTTTCAGACCCATCCAAAGGCAATATCAGTTATGTCTTTAGTAAAATCTGTGTTAAAATATGTTGGTGTTCAAGGGTGATGTACAAACCTGGATGCTTCATGTTAGACTGCTAAACTCAAATTTAGGCATCTCAGTAACTTTGGCTACCTTTTTGTGTGTGCTGACCAATGTCAACTCCTGAAAAAATGACTAGGAGTAGCAGGCATTCAATGGGTGCATCTACACTTGCAGTTACCCCGACTGAATAAACTCTGGTGCAGTTTGCACCAGCATTGGCTGCTCCCGGGACCAGCATTTACACGTGTGCCTGGAATTGCAGCAATGCAAGCCAGGGCAGAGGAGCCCCAAGCTGGCAGAGGGTCTGGGAGTTCAGCCCTGGGCTTTGGCATCACAGCTGGCTGGGGCATGAGGGTACTACAGTGCAGGGCTAGTTGGCAGGATCGCCCCACACTGTAGCACCTTTGTGTCCTAGCCAGCCCTGGTCACCATCTTCACGTGCTTTTCTGCCACGCTAAATGACTCAGCTGACGGATAGTACTTGTCCTGGACAGTACTATCCTACAGCAGAATTAATTAATTTACTGTACTCTAATACGACAAGCTAATTAGCCAGCACTGCAGTAAAGCACATGTGTAGATGCACCAAACATGTTTGAAAAATTAGACAACTTCTCTCCATACCTAAATATGGATGCATGAGTTTAACTTGAAGCATCCAAGTTTGAAAATTTTATATTTATGTACCAGGCAAACAGGGAAGCAACTCATCAGTCACTATCACAGAAGAAGCTAGAGAAATTTGTCTAAAACAGGGGTTGTCTTGGGAAGGCCTCGGGGTATGTGGGAAGGCCCTAGGGGGTACGTGCAGGTGGTGGGGGACGGAGCACTGCCACCTACCACCCTGCGCCACCGTTTCACAGAAGCAGGGCTGGGGTGGGGCAAGTGCCACTGTCGCTGCCATATATCACTCTGCACCGCCGCTGCATGCAACCCCCCCCCCCCGCGGCTGGGGGTACACTTATTAAAACACCTCACAAAGATGCCAGGTATCCAAAAAAGAGACACAATAAATGGAAATGGACAGCTGATGAGTCTGTTTTCTTAAATGAATTGTTCTGGGCTTTCCATAGGAAAGAGATGTTGCACTTAGAAAACTTAGGTTTTTTTGCTATTGATCTGTGATCTCCTGTGGTCTCTCTTTAGGTACTGCGTACAGTTGGAAACTCAGTGTAAAGCCTCTCTGTATCTGTAGGCATCATCCGACAGTTACTATGTGCCTCTGTAAACCAAATAGAGAAACTGTAAGCCAAAGACTCACACCTCTGTTGGGATTCTGGGAAAGAGTGAGTTAAAGCTACAGTGGGACCCTGTGGAGTCAGGACCAGACCCTGAGGACAAGAAGCTGGGCTGCAAGCCCTGCCACTCAAGAGAGAGTGGTAACACTGGTGAATTAGCACACCAAGGTATGACTGGAAAAGACTGTGCCAAACCCAGTTCAAACTCCAGAGGCTTAAACCATCCAGGGATACATGAGCTGGGTCCCCTGGTGACAACCTGATGAGTGAGCAAGCAAAGGAAGGAAGGGGACAGGGCAGGAACAAACATTAAAACTAAGGATACTGTAGCAAGTTTCTGCTCATCTATAATTTGGGCTTTCTAGTAATCTCCAAACAATCTCCTCCCCTTGGATCAATATTGTTTCCCAACTTGTCGTTTTGTAAGGGGCAAGGGATACTTAGTTATTTTGTACTGAAGTGTTTCTCACTCTGACAGCATGAGACCACAGGACTTATACCAAACATTTAATGTTAATCTTTCAGATAAGAGGGGATTTGTGTTTCAATATAGTCAAATTCACAGCACAACTGTTGATGGTGAACAAAATTAAGTAAATTGCAAAGGAGGAAAATGCCATCAAGAGACCCTTAGAGTCTCAAATAAGAACCTCAAAAGCAGCCTGGTTACCTTTCCGCTTGACCAGAAGTGCAAGTTCCCTTGTGTGTGATTCTCTGCTGGCTTTTATAAACATGACCACTTGGTCATGAGTGTGCTCTGAGATGTCTCGGCCATTGATTAACACTATCTGATCACCTTCATTTAGTTTTGGGATGCATTTATCCGCCTGTTTCAAGACCAGAAAGAGAGACAAATGTCATTCTGCACAACCCAATAAGTAGAGACAAAGACAGATGCCAGGTACAGGCATTATGTTTCTATCAGGAGAATGCTGCTCTCCCAATAGAAACTACAACAGTTCATTCAATTTCTCCCAGAGGAAACATGTCCCCTCTGGGAGAAAGATCCTCCAGGTGACAAAGCCTGTTCAAGGCCAGAGTTCCTCTATTCTTAAGGAACAAGGTTGTTTTAGGTAGCACAGCCTTGAGGTCTCTTGCCTCATACTCGGAGCGTCATCAGATAGGGCATTTTTACACATGCTCTGGGAGTGTGGGGTAGGAGGCAGGAATGCTTTAATTAGAGCGGCTCTCAGATGCTCTAAAGTGCCTGGAGCTTCTCATGTATCAGCATCCCAGTGCTTCAGAATGGCAGTAGGGGGTGCTTTAAGGCTTGTTGAATGAGCTTTAAAAAGCCCCTGTCACCATTCTGAAGTGCAGGGACACTGATACATGAGATGCAGAGGCTAGCTCGAGTGTGGTAATCACCATGCTCCAGCAGACTCAGTTAACTGAGTCTGCTCCAATGCACTGTAATTACAGCACACTGGAGCTGCCTCCATGCTTGTGTACAGGCACCCATAGATTGAAAATCAAAAGCATTTAAGTAGTTTCAAAACTCCATAATGAAGACAAAAGAAACAGCTTAAACACATTAACAGCTATGAAAAAATTTCCAGTACTTTGGCATGTTTATTTACCAGAAAGCCACCACGAAATACACTGTAAGTACAAGAGACTTAAGAGTATCTATCTTTTATTCAGTGGGTAAATGCTTTATTAAATGAATAAAAACCAAAACTTGTTCCTACCCCTCACTGCAGCAGTTAACACCTGCTTCCTTTTATATGTTAGACATTTTTAGAATTCTTTTGAGGTTCATATTTCCAAATGATTGTTATGGTAGCTCAGGCAGATGTTCAGCTATCACACTTTTCTAGACAAAATTGTGTAAATGTTTATTTACATATGGAGTTTTATGCAAGATTTTGTTTCACCGGTGCATGTCCCCCAGAGGCTTGAGGAAGGGTACTGTGATACCCAAAACTTGTCTGTCCCAACCATGTATCTAGTCCAATAAAATACATCATCCGAAAGACTTCCTGCCTCTTGCATATCTCCTGGATCATCATGGCAACATCACTCCAACACTACCTTCACATTCTAATATGTCACGCAAAACTTTGGCTGCTTAAATACTCTATCTTGGACCCCTAAATTCCCCACACCATTTTTAATCGGAGGTTACACCAATTACAATGGTAACAGCTTCTTCATTATCTTGAAAGGACATTGATTACTGACTTTATATCAATTAATTCTTCTCTTTAATATTACTCGCAATTAACTAAAGTTTCAATTTTTCAGCTTTGTACTCTCTACCACTTCCTTTACCTAGTTTGTTCTCTCTGCATCTTCCCAGACACTCGTGTATTATTTCATGGTAGGAGCTGATTTTATATTAGATTCTAAACTACTTTAAGATCTAGACAGGTTCTCATTTATTTTCTTGCATAGATGTTTTCTAGGAGCTCCAAAACCTCTTTTGGGAAAAGGAGATAAAATTACTTGTGAAATTTAGAGAGATAATATTATAATTAGGGACCTACTTAAATAGTGGCAAGACAAAGGTTTTTTGGCAGCTTACTGATGGCACACAGAGCCAATTTCATGGGCATTTCATGGTGGCCCCATCCCTTGGCACTGACTGGCAGAGAGGCCCTGCTCCTCACCACCAATTGGTGGAGAGGCTGGGGGAGGGGGAGGGAACAAGCGGATGTCTGCCAACTTGATTGCTGGCTGCCCCACCCCTTGCTGCTGATTAGTGGAGAGGCCCCGGCAGGGTCAAGAGGGCAGCCACCATCTTATCTGCTGTCCTTCGTGCTCCCCTACCAGCCAGCACCTTCTCCTCTTGGCAGTAAGGACTGCTGGATCCTACTGAGGAGCCAGCATTTTATTTTTGTTTTTGTTGCTGATTTCACAGATTTTGGGGACAATCATGGATTTTGCAATTTCCACAAAATCTGCAAAGCCACAAATTAAGTAGGTCTTGAATTATAAAGCACTACACAGTGTTCCCTGAGGTAAAATTTACAGGATAATGAGCAATACTAGAGTAAATTAAAGCAACAGCAAAAAAATGAAGGCGTGTTAACAGTGAGAGGCTCTAACTGGGTAGTCAGAATAGCCCACAGGCTCACTGAACACTGTGTTACAAGTAAATTTACAAATGCCAGGTCGTAAGCAACAAGGAACAGAGACGTACTTCATTTTTTTGTGGAATCTAACATTATCTATGTTTATCGTGCTGTCTGTGGCAGGGCACCTTTGGTGCCTGCCAGTTTAAGGGCTAAGATAAAGCAGCAGAGCAGCCTGCAGGTGACTGTACTCCCTAATCAGGAGCCACACAGCCAGCATGAGGCCGCCAGATTGGGAAAGAGGACTCAGCTGCTGGCGATAGGAACAGGCCTGAGTAGGGGAGTCAGGAGTTTCCTGGCTACAGCCATAGGGAGAACATCACCTGGCTGGAGCTGCTGCTCACAACATCTTGGAGGTACAGGGAAGGAGCTATGGGGAAGTTGGAGGCTCCTGGTCCTACAGAATGATGTAAAACTATACCCTGCTAGGGTAGGATGGTGTGGTGGGGCTACCTGTGGTGGGGCAGTACCCAGAAAATGCCAAACCAGTTGCCTCTCTAGTGAAAGGCAGGTATGGGGTGCCTTATAGCCCCAGCCCCCACAACCTGGTGGGTAACCCAGATGTAGAAACCAGTGGGGGGCCAGGCATGCCTAGTGAGACATCTGAGCCCCACGGGGTGTAAGACCCTGATGGCCCCAGTGAGGGGGGCAGAAAATGTGTGTAGAGGCCTGCACAGAATAGGGCTCATAGTGGCAGCCTGAAGGACTGTGCGTAAGTAGGGTCTGTTGAGGTGGGCCTGAATGACTGCACAGGGGTGCACAGAGTAGGATTGCAGGGGCAACCTGAAGGGCTGTGCACAGCCTGACCCCAAAAGGGAGTTACAACTTAAGTAGGAGACTGTAGCGAGAGGGCACGGGTTGAAGCCCCAGGGAAGGGGGCATAATAGCCAAGGTCTATGGATGCCTGAGGCTGCATTTGGGCCAGAGGTTGAGTGGTATAGGTCAGCAAGGGAGCAGGGGGAAGTAATAATGGGTAGTTTGGACCAGTGACCTAGTATTGATTTTGGATGCCATCTGTGAGGCATGGGACACTGTATAGGGAAGGTCAGAGCTGTGTATAATGCCCTAGGCATTGGGGCACTTAATGGGCAGCCTCCCGTATTTTACATCAGTTTTAAAACAGCAAGATGTGGCAGACAAGACAGGGCAGACTGCCCCAGGCAGGTGGCCAGGCCGATATCAGGACTGGCCTCATGACGGCCCCCTGTCACAGTCTTTTAACATATATTTTGCGCTCATGTACTATCCTTTCTGACTGAAACTTCTTGTAAAATGAAGGCTATTCAAAAAAATTCCTGTAAGATTAAACCAATTAGATGATCCACATCAAAATAAAATTAAGCTTAATACCATTTACTATAAAGCTTTGTGGAAAACATTTTTAAAATGATACTCAAAAAAGAAGCTTCAAATATAAGGGCACTCAGCCTCAAAAAACATTTAAAATAAATGGTA